TACACAATTCAAAATTATTATATCATACAATAGGGTTATTTATATTTAATAATTTGAAGACTTTAAGTATGATAATTAAAAAAATTAATTGAATGTAATTACAATTGATGTAATGTTAATTATTTTAAATATATATTATATTATCAATTTGTATAAGACAATTTAATTTATCATTACTGCTAGATACCAAAACTTATTCCAAAATCATGATGTATGTTATTACAAATTAATTGATGCAATGATATATGTTCTTTAATTTTTAGTTATAATAAATTCATGTTTTGTAATTTGTTAACAATTACAGAAATATATATATATATCTTTTTAATATTACTAATTTTATTAAATATTGATTATTTTACCAAATAAATAAACAATAATATATATATACTATATATATATTATTATATACAATGTTGTTAAATGTTATTATTAAAATTTTTTAAATATTTATTTTTAAAAAAATACAAATATTTACAAAAATTCTTAATTATTCTTGTATAAGATGTCTATTATATATTTTATAATCATTAGTTTGTTATATTTGAAGCAATAAATTTGAACTTTTTTAAATATTATAAAAGAAAAAAACTTCTATTTTATTATTATTAATAAATCTTAGTCAATTTAAATGTAATATAAAAAGACTTATATTGATCTTTATTAAATATATATAACATCTCTTCCAATAATCTAATTAATAATAACTAATTTAAATAAAGATAATTTCTATCATAATTTATATAATAATGTTTTCTTGGATTATCAAGCTCAGATAAATATTAATACTGACTATCCATAAGGACCTATTTTTTTATCTAAAAATTAAAATTAATTAATGTTTGATGTAACTTCTTTCTCTTCTTGACAATCTCATATTCTTTAATTTCTTTTAGTTATTGATTTTAAACTAAAATTGATATATATTTCTGTGTATACCAAGTTTACATTATTCTATTCTTATATTTTTTAATTAAGCAAAATGAGTCTCTTATAGTGTCAATATAGATTATAATTTTTGTTAAACTTTTTTATTTTTGTTATTTACTAAACATCCTAATAAAAAAAATTATATTGCAATATATATGTCATATATATATATTGCTAGATGTTATAATGCATTAACACTTGCTCCTATTTTGGATTTTTAACTAATATTTTAATATTTTGTTAATATTGGCTTTCATCTATTTGTAACAGGTTGGGACAAGACTATTAGCTACTTGGTTGAACGATCAAAGAATTTTATTGAACAGACTAGTTATTACAAGAATTGTAAGTATATCACTTTTATACCTTTTCTTCTTTAACCTATTCTATTATGATTACTAATGCAGACTATAAATTACTACATAATTTATGCAATGCTATTACTCTATATTAAACTATACTAAATTACTACATAATTTATGCAATGCTCTTACCCCACATTAACTATACTAACTATTACTTTAAATTAATTAATCAATTAATAATAGCATAATTCATGCATCGGAAGTTACTTGGATCAGAAAATTACTTGGATCGGAATCAGGTGGTTCTGGGTCATAGCACTAGTCACAGACTTGCATCATAGTCTTGAATGTGAGTGGCTTGGTTCACAGTCTTGATCGTGGGTGGCTTGGGTCACAGCTTTAACTCTTGATCATGGTGGCTTAGGTCATGGTCTTGATCATTGATAGCTTGGCTTGCAGCTTTAACTGTTACACTATCTCCACCTTTAAATATCTTTTCTTTTATTCATTTCCTGCCTCTATTTGATTTCAATATAGACCCGGGTTTGTTTGGATATTGTTGGTGATAGGCCTTAACCACTTCTTGGGTGTAGACTATGTTCTCAGCAGGTTCCCAAGATCTCTCATTAATATCATAATCCTTTTAGTCAACTAGGTAATGCACTCTCTTCCCTATGATTTTGTAGTCAAGTATCTTGTTCACCTCAAACTCGGTTTCGCCTTCGATAACCACTGGAGGTGGTGGCTCTGGTGATCTTCCTAGAAATGTGTTGGTCATATAGAGTTCTAATAAGGAAATATGGAAAGTGTTGTGGATCTTGAATGATAAAGGTAAGGTTAAGTGAAATGCCACCAGATTGATTATTCCAGAGATTGTATAGGGGCCCAGTCTTTGATAATCTAGTTTTCCGGAGAGACGTATAGTGTGAATATTGCAATGTAACAACCAGACTTTATCACTGATCTTGAAGGCAGGACCCTCTTGTTAGCATTTGTCTGCATGTCTCTTATATCGTTCTTGTGCCATTGCCAGTTCTTTGATAAGTGTTCTCCTTATTTGTTGCAATTGTGTGGCTTTATCTTCTGCAGAAGGGACAGTGGAAAGTGATGGTGCTTGTAGGTCAAAGTTAGAGTGAAAGCCATAGTTGACAAAAAAGGGTGTAGTCTTGATGAACACATGAATTGAATTATTATAAGCAAACTCAGCTAAGGAAAGCAAATCAAACTAGTTGTCTTGATGGTAATTAATTGTATACATTAGGTATTGTTCTAACACTTGGTTTACCCTTTCACTTTGTTCATCTAACTGAGGGTGGTAGGCTGTTGATAAATTAATTCAGGTTCCCATAAGACTGAATAGCTGTTTCCAGAACTTTGAAATAAATTGAGGCCTTCTGTCTGATACAATATCTTTTGGAACTCCATGCAACTGCAGCACTTCTTTTAAAACCAGGTATGCCATTTGCTCAGTGTTAATGCTCTTGTTGCATGCAATAAAATGCACCATTTTTGTCAGCCGATTGATCACTACAAGGATTGAGTCGAATCCTGATGATAATGATAGGTCTGTAATGAAGTCCTTAGAAATCGATTGTCATTGTCATGAAGAAATAGGTAAGGGGTTAAGTAGCCCATAGAGGTGGTGTCTAGGAGGTTTAGCCCTGGCACAGGTGTCGCAAGATTTTACAAAATGCCTTACAAAAGTTTGAAGTTTCAGCCACCAGTAGTCTCGTGAAACTAATTCTATAGTTTTTGTCACTCCGAAATGATCTGCTAAACTCACATTGTGCCTTGCATGCAATATCTCTACTCTTTCTGTTTGGTTGGATACATACAGTAGACCTTCTCTGAACAGAAGACCGTCAAAGTATTGGAACTTATGTTAATCAGATCACAAGCCCTAAAAGTTTCTGTTAGAATACTTTAACTCTCAATCACATCAAGCACCAGAGGGTCTTTTTTCAACTGGTTATGGATTCGATTCATCATGGTGATGTTAGTCGGTATTATATAGGTGGCATCTATGTGAAGGTTTTGAGGTTTCAATAGTGTAGTATGTTGCTGCATCACCTCCTCATCACTGTCAAGGAGTTGGTAATCTGGCCTTCTAGATAGGGCATCTGATTTACTCTGTTCCTTTCCCAATTGAAACACAATCTTAAAGTTGTAACCTGAAAGAAGGAGGAACCATCTGACCTGAAGGTGACTAAGAGTTTTAGCTGTGATGAAATATTGCAAATTCTTGTAATTATAGTACATAGTGATTTCATGCTATGCTCCTTCCAGATAATGTTACCACTGCTTAAAGGCCATTATTATTGCCAAAAGTTCTTTATTGTGTACATCATAGTTAATTTCTGCCAGTGTAAATTTTTAAGAATAATAGGTGATGTGATGGAGCTTCTCCTCTTAATGTAGCTAAGATAGCACTGCATCTAAGACATAGTCTGAAACATCTATTTCAGGGTAATATGGTTTGGTTGGATTAGCTTGTACTAACACTGGAGCAGAAGTGAAGGCTTTTTTTAGGAAAGTAAAGGCCTGTTGGGCCAATGCGGGCCAAACAAATTCTTTTATCACTTTTTTCTGTTTTTTGGTTAAGTTAGTCAGGAGAGTGGTTAGGTGAGCATACTTCTTAATAAAATGTCTGTAATAGTTAAAAAAGTCTAAGAACTGCTGCACCTCACAATTGATGTCGAAATAGGCCACGTGAGGATGCTTTTAATTTTGTTAGGGTCTATTTGAATTCCCTGAGGTGTAATTGATAACCCAGGAAGTCAATACTTTTCTTGTCAAAGTCACATTTTTCTAATTTCACAAACAAGCCATTTTTTTGTAAGCATTTCAGCACAATCTGTACATGTTGATTATGTTTTTCTTGGTTAGTTGAGTATATCAAAATGTCATTCAGGTAAATAATAATGAATTGATCCAAAGGTCTCTAAATACGTTGTTCATTAAATGTTGGAAAATGGCTGGAGCATTAATAAGCCCGAAAGGCATCACTAGATACTCAAAATGCCTGTACCTTGTGCGAAAAGCTGTTTTCCATTTGTTTCCTAGTTTTATTTGCACCAGATTATAGGCCCCTCTTAGGTCTAGTTTTGTAAAAACCTTGGTGACCGCAAGATGGTTTAATAGTTCTAGTATTAGGGAAGCAAATACCAATTTCTAACTGTAACCTGATTCAGACTTTGGTAATCGACACACATTTGTAGTATACCATTTTTTTTTTGACAAAGAGCATTGAGGCCCCTGCTGGTGATTTTGAATGGTGAATGAAACCCTTTTCTGGATTTTTTTCTATATATTCTTTAAGGTTTTGAGCTCTTGCATAGACAGCTCGTAAATAAGACTCCAAAAAAACGTAAGTTAAGTAAAAGCTTGATCTCGCAATCATATTAACAGTTTCTGGGCAGCTTGTAAGCTTTTTTTTTGCTAAACACATCACTGTATTCATGGTATTTTACAGGAACCACCGAAGGTGACCTCTCATTGGCATGGCAGGAGTTGACGATTCTGGTAGAAAAAACTTGCACTATAAAAATTCGTTTCTTATTAGTTGTGCTAATTCCTGCAGATGAAAAAAGATAATTTTTGCAGGTTGGGTTTGAAAAGTTGATGAGTCGTTTGTGCCAATTGATTTTAAGATTATGTAATGTCAACCAAGGCAACCCCAAAATTGCTTTATAGTGAGAAGAAGGAATAAGGTTGAAGACTATTTCTTCATAATGATTCTGTAAAAGTACAGATGTTGGCCTGGTTTTATGCATTACAGACCCTAATGACAGTTCCTGACGGTTCTTCTGGAGAGATAATAGTGTCAATTCTTGGTGGTAATTTAGGTTTTTTGAGGCAGTTTTTGACAATATGACCTGGGTTATCACAATAAAAACAGAGGTTATTAGTACGACACTGTTTTTTCTCAGTTCCTGAGAGTAGTCCAATCTTCATAGAGTCGATTTGCATTGGGCTCTTTGAACAGTGCTGACCTAGTAGTGGGCTGAGGTTGATGCTGTCTTGCTGAGATGTCCTATGAGCATTCAAGCCTATGCTCAAACAGCCAGTTATCACACCTAACAGCTTTTGAAATAGCATCGTTTAGTGAGATTGGGTCTTCAACTATAAGGAGCAAGTTCTTAATATCGCTATGAAGCCCACTACAGAATTGATTAATTAGCACTGCTTCACCTCAATCCAAATCACCTGCAATTTGCTGAAATTCAGAGGCATAACTTGAGGCTGGTTTTGACCCTTGGATGAGCTTCCGAATTTTGTTGGCTGCAGTTCTAGACTTTTCTGAGTCACCAAAAGTGGCTTCAAATTCTTTGACTAGATCCTCGAAAGTTTCAAGCAATGGTGATTGTTTTTCCAGAAGCGGGGCAAACCAGTTGAGGGCTAGTCCTGTCAATAAGCTTCCCAAAAGACCTGCTTGTAATTGATCATTAAGGTAACAATTAGGTTGCATACATATGACAAGGTGACCTGGTTTAGAAAACCTCTAAAATTTTTTGTAACCTGTCAAATTTGTCTGGAAGGCTGATTTTGGATTCCTTGAATTGGTTATCTATTTCACCTTGGGTATGAATATAATTTAAGATGTTTCTGAGATCCACATTATTTTGTTGAAAGGCTTGGTTGTTGAGTTGGAGTTGGTTTACTGTAGCTAATATATTGCTGAGATCAGGTTGCTCTTCTATTCGGGTTTCTTGTATTATGTGGTTCAGTTTTTGGTTTTTTTTTTTATTTTTTTATTTTTTTTTTTTTGTGGTATTGAACCTATGTATTATACTAATGCTGGTTATTTGAGAGATAAATATCATGTTTATAGAAGCACACTTCCTACACAGTTTATTGCTGTTAGGTCAAGAAAGGGTAGTCTGTTCAAACTGTAATGGGTTGGGACAAGACTATTAGCTACTTGGTTGAACAATCAAAGAATTTTATTGAACAGACTAGTTATTACAAGAATTGTAAGTATATTGCTTTTATACCTTTTCTTCTTTGACCTATTCTATTATGATTATTAATGCGGACTATAAATTATTACATAATTCATGCAATGCTATTACCCTATATTAAACTGATGCGTTTACTTCGCCAACAATTATTTCACTGACAGCTTATTTGACCGACATTACATAGGGTTAGGATTAGCATTTTATTATTTACTCATATATATTTTTAGTAAATTGTAGCCTGATATGATGTAGGTTAAATGAGCTGTTGATGAAATGATTGTCAGTGAAATAATACAGACCCATATTAAACTATACTAAATTACTACATAATTCATGCAACGCTCTTACTCCACATTAACTATACTAACTATTATTTTAAATTAATTCATCAATTAATGACGGCATAATTCATGCATCAGAAGTTACTTGGATCAGGAAATTATTTGGATCAAAATCGGGAAGTTCTGAGTCATAGCACCAGTCACAGACTTGCATTGTGGTCTTGAATGTGGGTGGCTTGGGTCATGGTCTTGATCGTGGGTGGCTTGGGTCACAGCTTTAACTCTTGATCACAGTGGCTTGGGTCATGGTCTTGATCATAGGTTGCTTGGGTCACAGCTTTAACTGTTACACTATTTACCTAAGTTGCTTTCTTAGACATACATAAAACACAAATTATTTTATATATTATTATCATTTTATTGATGCATTTAGTCTCTTGAAAAATGTTTATATCTTACAAATTTATATTAGAAGCTTAGATACTATTATAAATTCTGCATTTAATAGTAATTAGTTTCATTTATCTTTACTGTATGCAGCTAGCTAATTAAAGATTAATTAATGTTTTTTTAAACAGTTTGATTAGATGTTTTTATTAATTATTATTATCTATCTTTAGCTTATTTTTTTTTTTAAATATTAATGATAAAGCCATGCCTTTAACTTTATTGAAATTCAATTGAAGTTTTTACAAAAAAAAACTTGCTTTTAAATTATATATGAAAAATAAAAGCTTAGACATATAATTTGTAATCTAACCTACAAGAGTGGCCAAGACTCATCTAGATTTGGGTTTGAGTAATAATATAAAAGAGAGGATTATAGTATTTAATTCATTAGATAGTTTAAAAATTAATTTTAGTAATAATTTGTAGTATTAAAATATAAGATAAAAGTAGGTTAAAAGAATGACTATAAGTTGAGTTAGTAAAAAGTGTAGTTTGAGACTGTACAGAATATGAAATACAGTATAAAATTCATATTTGTTTGTATATTTGTTGGTTTAAGTGAAGAAGAAGTTTGATAAAAAGAATAGTGACAGTATAGTAAAAAATAGAAGAATTGTAAATAATAGAAATAAGATTGATAAGAACTAAACCAGATAAGGTAGAAATAAGTAAAGGTATGTGTGAAGAGTTATGCAGTTTGAAACTATTAAGTATAAGAATTTTAGTATATAAATCAGAAACAAGATTGGCAGACATATCAAGATTAGTTGTATTTAAAATACTATTAAGAAAATGAGAGATTAAGTAGTAAATTGTTTGGGTTAATAGACAGATAATCTAATGAAGTGAAGAGCTGGTTTGGTTGCATTGAAGACAGAAGAAAGAAAATAAAAAATTGTGTTTATAAAGAGTATAAAGAACAGGAAGTTCATCTGTAAGAATTTTAACTTAAAAAATTTTTAAAATAGATAGGTAAAAGCTGTGAGCAAAATTAGAAATTTTTTGATTGTTGTTAATATAAAATCATGTAGCTTTTCAGTTAATATCAGATGCAATGGTAGACCATTGTTAGAAATGATGTTGAGATGTCTAAAATATTATAATGTAGTCTTAACATATAGTTTAAATAGAGTGTCAGATAGGAATTTTAATAGGAAATTTATTAATAAAAGAAGTATAATTGAAGTTGTAAGAATTATTAGTTAAAAATATTAGATAAGGTAATATTTGGTGATTACAGGCAAGTTTATTAGCAAGGTTGTTAAATGGATCATCTTGATGTGCAGTAACTTTGTGAAAAGTAAGTTAAATTTTATAAAACTCAATAAAGTTGATAAGTGTTTGCAAAATAAAGAAATATGAAGTATGTGTATGAGAAAGAGTAGATACTAATTGGCAAATGCTATAATATTTAGAGATTACTGATTGTGAATCAGTAAATATGTAAACAGAACAATGTCTAGAAGAGTAATAATTGCTAAGAGAATAACAAGAATTTTAGCTTTTAAGAAGCATGACTACAGTTTAACTTGTGCCTAAAATGAGTTAATAGTTGTAGAGTTATCAACTTGAACCCAACCTATGCCTATAGAGTACTATAAGATACCAAGATTAATAACAAAACTATCAGTGTAAAATGAAATAAACAATAGATTGAAATTTGAGTTAGCAATAGTCTGAAGCTTATTAGTAAGTTAATATGTTTCAAAAATAGTAGGTAGTTGTTGTAAATTAATTGTGAGTAAAGAAGGAGATAGAATATGTAAGAGATATCAAAGAGAAACAGAATATGCAATATCAAGAAAGTTTGCATAAATGTTGAGAGTTTTATTAGGATTGATGCAGCAAAGTAGCTTAGTAGCCAAGTTAGTAGAAATAAAGATAGTATATTTGTTAGCAATTGTATTTGAATTAAGGTAGCATTTAGTATATAATATGATAATAAAAGAAAAAGTAGGATAAAGATTAGAGAACTGAGACTGAAATGAGCAATGCCAGTAATTAATAAGGGTATATTATATCTTCTGGCCTTAATAATAATTATTTGATTATTAAAAACAGTAAGTAGCCAAGATTTAGTGTTAGAAGTAAGCAGGCAATAAAGTAGCAAAAGTAGTTTATAAAAGGTAGGTTATAATAATTATATAGAATACATTGGTAAAAGTGACTTGTAGTAATGTTCTTAAGAGTAGTAAACTATTGTAGTATAACACTTTTTGAAATTTTGGTAAATCTGGATGAAATATGTTGCCAATGCAATAGACATAAATTGTCATGAGTAGTGAGTTGGTCCAGAAGAGAAGTTTATTATGTTTGAGTTGTTTTTTGAAAATAGAATATTTTGAATAAGAAGAAAGAAGAGATTCAAGAAATATAGTTTTATCATTTAGAGTGTATGGGATGTTGTAAATTGGACTAATTGAAAAAAATTAGCCTATATGTTTGATAAGTTGTATTATTTTGAAGTTTGTAGTTAATCAATTGGGTCTATTAATAATTGGCTTAGGATAAAGAAAAATATTAGTAGAAGATCAGAGGTTGTTTTAAAGTTGATGAAATTATATACAAGTAGATATGCCTAGTAGATCAGAATTGTTAAGTCATTTGAGAAGATTGGGAATATGGTGTTGCAATTGAATATTCCAGATATGTTTAATGTTGTAGATTTGAGAATATAATAGAATACTAGATAGTATTATACAGCAAAGTTTAGCTTTAAGCTTGACAAGACCAATGTGTTAAGTGAAAATTTTGTTGCAAATAGGTTGGTTAATAACAATATTATGTAAATAGTATTTAATAGTAGAGATAATAACTGTATTAATAATATAGCAGGCATGTGAATCAGTTATATATTTGTTTTTACAATTTGGATAAGTTGGAAGAATTAAGAGATAATTAATTTTGTTTGTTTAGATTGCCTGTTATCTAAAATAAACTAGCAACCTAAAAATTTAAAGGGTTGTTTGAAAAAATAAAATAGAAATAAGTGGTTATTATAAAAAATAGAAGTATAATGTGATGGAGAGTTGTTAGTAACCAGAATAGATTTTGAAAATTTTATTTAAATATTTGTCATAGCATAAAATAATTTAGCTATAGATAATATATAAGATAACTCAGTTTATGAAGAAGTGATCCAAAGAGTATTGTTCATATATGCTGAAACAAAGCATTGTTTTTGTAATGAATAAGTTGTTTGAAGTTTTAGGTTAGTGGTCCAAGTAGATTATAGAGTATACCTAGAGACTTTTAAGTATATATATGAAATAAGTGGGTTATAGTAAATACACCATAATAAAGATGTAATTGTTTCATCTTGGTCAATACTATTGTAAACTGGATAAGAGGGAGTAAAACCAAAATTGGTAATAACTTGGTTGTAATGATCAGTAAGAAGATTAGTAAAAATGTTAATAATGAATAAAGGAAATAAGAGATAAGAAAGTAAATATTTAAAAAGAGCAAAGTTTACAAAATCATATGCTTTGCTTATATCTTGTAAGAGTAATTAAATATCTTTGTGATTGCAGTAGCATCTTCAATAAAATTATTGAGAATATAAATAGAAATTGAAGTACTATTATTGGAGAGTGTGATATAGTTAAAAGGTAAGAGAATAGAGTTTGAAAAAAAAAATATATGCTAAGTTAGTTTGTAAGAATTTTAGTATAAAGTTTGCAAATGTGTTCGATTAGACTGATAGGTTATGTAAAATTAAAGTCATCATCAAAGGTGTTGCATTTAGAAATAGAATAAATTTTACTATGTTTCTATTGTTTGAAAATTCTGTTATCAAGAAACAGTAATTAAAGAGAGCAGTAATAGCAGAAGTGCATTGGAGACTAATGTGTTTAAGTATTTTATAACTAATGCCTGTAGGACCACAAGCTTTGTTATTAGATAGTTGTAATAGGATTTGAAGAAGTTCTTCATTAGTAATAGAAAAGTTAAGAGAATGATACCAATTTGGATTAATGTAAAGGAGTAGAAAAGATTGTTGT